TCTCCATCAGACTATCACTGCTTTCTCGACCAGGATCAACCTTTCTCACTTCCCTTGACCCCGGGTCCCACTCAGAAACCATTCCAAGCAAACATAAAATGCCTGCGATCCGATATCTCTAGCCGCCATTCTCGATCACGCTCATCCTTTAACCCTCGTCCGCCCTGGGAACCGTGTATTTGATCTCTTTTTGGTTTGCGCCAGCAAGACAAAACACCGCACTAATACTCTAGTGTTTGCCGTCATACCTCCCCCCACGCAGACACACTAGAAGGACCCCTTCAGTTGCTTTCTCGTGGAGACAGGTCCTTTTTTCTTACCTCTTGGGACCGATCACCTGCCACTTCACCTCTAACCACACCGCCTTGCACCAACCAGGTGCTTTCCCAGGAGCCCTTACCAAGACGAGTTCTTCTTTACCGTGGATTCCCTTGTGTGTCTGTGGAAGCCTTGCCTCAGGATTACCAGGAATACTTGGACCCAGAAGAAAGAGACTATTTCCAGGACACTGTTGGACTCCAGGCTGCCTAGCTTGTCCAGTTGAGCGGAGCCCCTGCTCTTATTTCATGTAGTCTTCCCACGCCAGGCTCTCGGGATTGTTTTTTTCCTCACAGCGCTATTTGCTTCTATCACTTCAGACCAAGGAAACAGACATGAGCCAACCGGACATTGCTTACAGGAACACCATCATGTCCAACGGTCCATGGAATCCTTCACGGAGGTATGGACCTCCCTTGGCTGAGAAATGGCACATGCAACGCGGCCTGCGACTGACACCTTCAAAGTTCGATGTACAGTGATGCCTTCCAAAATGGAGGTTTTGATAACAATTTCTATCGAACAACAAGGTATGGACAAGCATACTGCGCCAAACGCGAAGCCTGTTTCTTCTCCCTGCATTCTAATGCGTATTTCCTCAGTGTTTCACAATATTCTCCTGCCGTCAGTTCATACAACCTGCCGCTAGGAACCAACGGCCATCATGCGGCAGCCACATCGTACTCCACGCGGCCGTTGTCCGGGTCGCACGGCACCAGTGGTGCAGCTGCATATGGGTCGTATAAGAGTACGACTTCGCAAGCCTGGGACTCTCAGGGAAGATACTCGCCCACGGACTCCGTAGACGACATCATTGCTTCCCCCAACCTTTCAGATTACTCTTTAGAGAACGGGACCGAGCCGACGTCATCAGGCAAGAACAAGTCTGGAGGGAAGACTCGTCCACAGCGTCGACCCTCAAACCGCGATGAATTTGATGGTCCACACCAGTTTCTCGCTCGCCCTCCACAAGACTATGTCGCGCAACAAGAGCGTGAGCTCCCTCATCTACCCACGAACCTCCTTGTGCAGGAGCAAGATTCGGTCCTATCCCAAGTCAACGATCGACTATCACAATGTGCTTTCGATTTTATCGCCAAATACCAGTTTCCCATCCCTCTCACCCAGGACATGCGACCTGTTGAGCGGCCACAGGACCGTGAGTGGACCGAGTGGGTATATCTTCTCAAGCGACTGGCGACGAAGCGTCGTATCCCCGCACGGGTCCTGTACAACGGCCAGATCAAGCAATTTGTCACCATTCTGGAGAACTCGCTCGAAATGCGACATGCTGCGAAACACCAGAGCCGGCCTCTGAAGGACGATCGCAACATCCTGCAGCTTATCTCGGCGGGGATTCAGGTGGCCAAAATTCTGAAAGATGCGAGCGCGATGAAATATCTCGACCAGTTATACGTTCAAACGGAGAAGCAAATCCAAGATCGGGCTGCGGCGGCGCGGTTCCGGGTCTGAGGTCTTCCCCCCCTTGTTGTGCCTCTTTTCAGTCCTGGTGTTCGTTTTTCTGGGGCTTCTTATTTTCATCCTCTATGTTTTGCTTTGCGCCCGTCGCTCTCATGGTCGAGCAACGACCCAGAGGGTGTCTCCATGTTCCAGCTCCAGCTCGGAGAAGGCTGTGTCCCATCCTTACAAGTGTCGGAGCGGTGGGCCGTACTACCTTGACGACATGTTTGCACGCTACTACCCCGCCGATGTTGCGGGAGGGAGGATGGAGTTTAGCAGCAGGCCTAAAGACCGGGTTGTCCGGCCATGCCCTGTTTGATGACGCGAAGCATCGGGTCTCTATCTCATCAATCCCCCAGCCCCGGTCCAGGATACTACCACAGATAGGACTGACGAACTCATGTACCTCATGAATTGACAATGACCATTTGAACAACTCAAAGCTGACAGAGTCGCGTACTTGACTTGCCTGTGTGTGACGGTGTACTGTCGTGCTGTGTGTCTATTTGGGGTTCTTTGTCATGGGGTTGCTGGGCTGGGTCAAGCCAAATCGCGCTTTTTGCGTTCCGAGTGCCGGCTGCAAGTGCCAACCTGGATCGCGAGCCTCCCAGAGGTACTGTTGGGCGAGTCATCCTGAACAAGCAGGAATAGAATGTTGTCCTGTCGTTGGTTCTTCATGAGAGGCGAGTCGATCGTGAGATTGGTTGGCCCTGTTGCCGGCCAATTGCAGCGTAGCACATTCCGAATCAGGTCGTCGAGCTCGGTGTCCAAAACAGGACTAGCGAAGGTCGCCAACGGGGTCTCTGGAGCAAACCGAAGCGGGAGCTGATTTGGCAGTTGACGGTGTTTAATCAAGCTTGCATCAGGGTGGGACAGGCAGGAGCGGTACGAGCTGCCGACTGTTGGTCTGGGCAGGACCAACCCCAGGGTCTTCGGCACCTCTGAGAGGGAGCGTCTCTCTTCTGCTTCTCGTCCCGTCATAACCCCGGCGCTGACGAGAGCACCATGGCTTGAGACATCTCGAAAAGGACTTTTCGCGGAGCCAATTTGTGAGATATAGGAACCAAACAAACATGTTCTGGTAGCGGCCCATTCACGACGAACGAAAGATCGCCAGCATTGACCCTGAACGGCGGCGACACGCCAAGGTGAGGTGGGCGCGATTGACGAAAACGCCTCGCGGGAGAGACCCGACCGCCAGCCAGGTCTGGGACGACAACGCCGTCTTTATCAACCACGACCAACGAACGGCTCAGTGTATCATCCAAACGAGTTTCCCCAGTTTGTGACATCACAGTCAGCATTTTTATGAATAGAAAGGCAACCAAAACCATCGGCAGACACCAACACGAGCCCGCTGGAGTTCCAAGCTCCTCCGATCGATCTTCGCCGCCATCAGCAGCAGCCCACGATCATGTCGTCCCTCAGCGTGTCCCCGCAGGTCTTCCACTCCCATGAATTCGACTCGGCAGGCGAAACGGAAGACTCGTGGCAATATCTGGACTCACAGTACGCCAGTGGCTGCTCTAACCCAAGCTCACTCTACTTTCTCAACAGTCCCGGCGGCAGCCTCCAGAGCTTCATTCATGTCCCCAGCCGCCCCCCGTCCGCTTCCGCTCCTGGCTCCGGTGCCGGGTCGCCCATGGCCAGCCGGCTTTCGCCACCCTACCATGTTCATCCTCCTCCGAGTACGGGCTCGTTCCGGGGTCAGGCAGAGACCCCACCGATATCGTATCCTCTCCATCCTGGCGATGGAGCTGCTGCCTACGCCTTCCCCGCAGACACCGCCACAGCGCCGCCGATGCCCATGTCGACGGCTCCAGCGGTCACGGTCAACGGAGATGTCGGCATGACAATAGCCCTTGACTATATGCCAGTCATGCCTGCCGATCAGATGGCGACTCTTCTTCATTCTGGGTTCTTCAGCGCCATGCCGCAGCAGCAGTTTGACATGGCTAGCTTCCCTTTGCAATTCCACCCCTACCCCCTCGCGGCAGACTTGTCGTACCAGGCAGCACAACAATCACCAATACACCAACCGCAGGATCAACAGCACATTCAACAACCGGACAGCTCGCCGTCAACCCAGGATCCTACCCTCCACTTTCAACAGGGCTTCCACCCCGGTGATCATCCCGTACGGCCAGCATGGACGCCCAGCGAGTCACAACAACAGAAGACGCAGGAGACGTCTTTGACCAAGGCGCCCGGTGCATCCACTACCCGCCGTTTCGTCATCCACGAGAGCCACTACTCCAAAGACCCTAGTCTTCCACGGCCATCTCCCAGCTCCAGTGCCCCATCGGTTGTTGCCCGCCGCGATCATAATCGCTCAAACGCAGCCTCCAGCCGGAAGGCCAAACCAATGGGAGTGCAAAAATCCAAGAAGGATGTTGACAAGGCATCCTTCTTCGTCTTCACCGCTGAGCAAGTCAATATTGCTACTGCCGCTGGCCGCTCAAACTGCTTTGATGGAGGCATACACACTACGCAGCGGGGCCGCAAGGGCCCCCTTGCCACATCTACGAAGGAGGCCGCACTCAAAGTCCGTATAAAGGGCGCTTGCTTCTGCTGTAAGAGCCGGAAGGTCAAGTGTGATGCAGATGGCGACTGTAGGAATTGCAGGAAACTCAGGACCGGCACTCCGCAGCTTGTCTGCTGGCGTTTTCCCGAGTTCATCCCCGTACTCTTTCCCGAGTTCATGCGAACCCATCTTCGAAGGGACGAGATGGCCGAGTTCATAAGAGAGCATGTGGGCATGTCGTCTCGCTCGTCAGAATCGTATCAAATTGAGCTTCACTCTGGCGACCGCTTCCAAACAACCCTGGTGCTCAAGGCACTAACCTTCCAGCCAAAGGACGACGACGCCCATCACGGTTGGCATTCCAGGATCAACAAGGATGAGGTCCAGCTGCACAAGCAGGACTCAGTGCCACTGCTGTTGGATCTGGAGACCGACTCACAGAAGGAGGCCGTCAAAAGGAAGATCAGTACTTATATCTCGTCTTTATCAACCGAAAAACATTATGCCAAGCAAATTACAGAGGAGTTGGGTGATCTAGCTCTTCCCGGGAAAATACTCAACTTGGTTCAAGGTTATGCCAGGAAAACAGATGTAAGACCGCCACGGCCCCGCCTCGGGAATTCTTACAATGCTGACGGCGACAGTCCAAAATGGTCAAGAAGGCGCTTTCCATATGCACGGCGCATTACGTCTTAATGCACCAGCTGCTCTTCCGCAACAAGGACGCCCTTCGCTGCTCCACGCTCAGTATGCCCGATGGTGAGCATCCAACCGCGGTTGTCCTTAACCGACAGCTCAAGGCCCTCATCGATGAACAACTCGCGCGTGAAGTGTCCGACTTGTTCCGCATATTCAACACGTCGTTGAAGCCGAGATCAAAACTTGAGTGGACGCCTTGCCTGGCTGCTTTCCTGGTGGTCTGTCTCTTTATGGAGGACATGGAGCGTGCGACCGACATGTTTGTCCTCTCGAAGAACGAGATAAGCATACGAGCTGGCAAGCAACGGCTCTATACGCGCAAGCAGGTGCTCGAGGTCAACGAGCAGGTCGAGAAGATGCCCTTTCAGCAGTTCATGTGGCAATTTCACCATATCTATCAAACGCATAGCAAAGAGCACGGTTCAAAAGCGTTCAACCCGCTACTAGATGACGCTTCGTTGGCAACGGCTGCCACCGACGGCGGCGTGGCTGCGGCCGAATTGATTGGGGGGTTACGAGGTTTGGTAGGACCGGATTGTGAGTATTTAGGATGAACCATTTCGGCGAGCTAGCCAACTAATCATCTCTGTAGGGAACGAACTTCACGATCTGGTCAAGGATCCGATATTGCCAATGTCAGAGACCGAGGAGCATCCGTGGCCAAGAAATGTTGCTGTCAACTACTGTGGACGGCTGGCGGCGAGGTTCCTGATGTCCTTCAAAAGCGAAGAGTACATATTTGGTGGTATGCCGAAGCAGGGCTGTGTGCCACTGCCGAGTGCGGCTGTGCGAGAATGGGTGAACAGCCAGCAGCGGGACATGATGGATCTCAGTGCGGCGTAACGCGATCAGGGTGACAGTATGGTGCAGACAGGATTTCCACTACTCTCCTCTGATGTAGATCTCTTAGCATAGCGCAGCGGCCTGTTTTCACAATGGTATGGCGGGATCAAGACACGTTGGATACGACGAAGCATGTTCGTCCGATTCTAGTCCTACTGCCACACAGTTTCTCTATGGCAGTAGGGTGGAGCGGACAGGTTGTCTAGACCTTGAGTTTGTTCTCCCACATACGAACGAATAAAATAAGTTGACACTCCTGCGTACTAAGAGCGCGGGGTGTAGGCAAGTCGTGGGTTGGCCGTGGCCGGGGGTATTTAGTCAAGTGGCACGGAGGCACGCCATTAGGCGTTCTCTTTTCCAGTCGACGGATAGGCACGGTAGTTTCTTCGAGAGACCAATAGACCAAAATTCGCGTTGCCGAGCCAGCCTTTGAACGTCGCGGTTGCTTCGGATCGGGTTGGGTTAGTCGTGCCGGAGCCTTCAGACATAGTCTGACGAGACCGCCAGCCTCGCAAAGACTGGGTATTGATACGACAAGATGTATAGATTGGTCCAGAGCTCAAGTACAGGATCGCGAGCCAGCAGTAGCATCGGTCTATTCAATGTAGGCTTGGAACAGTCGAAATTTGGTTGGAATCGGAAAGTCGGAAGAATCTGGTGTAGAGGGAGAGGTATGTGACGGTAGAAATGCGAGAAATTTCGAGTTTTCAACAGACGCCAATTCCAAAAAGACGCTAGTCCAAGTGTAGTCGAACCTTATGTCAGCAGGTCATGTGTGCGCTCCACTCCAGGGCAGGCAGCAGGCAGGGCGTGCTCATCTGCCTTATCCGCCTCGTCTGGCGCCGCGTCTTGCTCTTCTTCTCCTTTTCCCTCTCATACACTTTTCGCACTATAATCAACCGGTCCCATTTCGCCTACCTTGTCATCGGTCAAACTATGTGCTAGAACGGCATGGGTCATTCACTGCCTTTCTCCTCGGATTTGCGACGTCTTTGTGCGGCCGGTCTGCCCGAGACCAGTAGTGGTTCCCGACATGATATTTCTGCTTTTGCTACTGTGCTGCTCTAGCGCCAGGTCCTGTCGCTCGTCTGAGCCTCTTCTCTCCATGTACGACACCTCGCACCATGTTTATTTCGTCATGTCTTGCCTGGAGACGATCGCGTTGAGTCATCCACACATTCAATTCAGCCTTACACATGTCTCTTAGCAGTTTCCCCTGCAGTATCAGGTCGTGTCAGGGCGGGCCTAGATTGCAAGACCCCGCGATGTCCACATACCGCAATCCCCATCATCGTCTCTCACTGGTCCCAAGCGGGATGCTGTGATGCGCTGTGGTTGGCGAAGGAGCGAAGTTTCGCATCGCATCGCTCGGCCTACCCATGCCTTCGGTGTCCCATTTCGTCCTTGTCTTCCAGGCTTCTACCTCAAGCTGCGCTCCCCGGTGTGTCAGTTCGAGACTCGAGGCCATCGAGGCCCTCGAGGACGAGTCCGCGAAGACGGGGCTGGTTTCTGGCGGCCCCATTCTCCAGGCAGACGTCCCCATGTCTATGACCACTGCGCCCTGTCCCCTGCCACTCTGCCTCCCCTCGGTGTTCTTCTTCGGTGTCATGAAGTCCCCTGCGATATCTCGTCCCAATCAGGGCGGTGCCGGTGGCGCGTGCCGGGCTTCCCATTGCCCTCCACAGTATACCTGTCCAGGTACCTCTGCTCCCACCGCACAGCGCTCGTACACGGGGCAAGGGTTGTTGAACTTGGCGGGCTCGGCGATGTATCTCGGCCAGATCAAGGATGCCTGAGTCGAGGCCGGACAAGACCTCGCATTCGACTCACTGATGCACTGGAGTACTTCCCCACGCCCTCGACTCGATAAGCGGCCCTTCTCACCTTGACGCAAGCGAACCCTGCGAGACACTCTCGCATGGAGCCAATCGAGCGCAGTCGACTGTCTTCGTTCCTCGACGACTACCATATGCGTGCCTTACCGAAAAATGGGGCCTCACCAGGCTGCCGCCTGCCATTGTACCGTCGTCTGGGTATTGTCATTGGTTTTGGTCTTGCGTCGGCATTTCGAATTCCACCTGATGGACAGAGGCTAGAGTCGGTCCAGGGTCCAAGGCGGAGCTTCATCGCCTCGCTGCCTTGAAGGCATTTTGCATGGCACTTTCGGTACCTGGAAAGGGTTGTATCATGGTAGATGCCAGAGACAGTATGATGTATCTACGATTGCCTCTCTCTCTATATATATATCTGGGAGCTCTGCTCGTAATGTCTATTTCGATCCTCGCACTACTCACCTCATCCTCGCCTTGATCCTCACTAGCCTACATAAAGTCTTCATTCACCCTTCGCAGTCTTCTCCATACTCAGCCAACGTCTACATGCCTTGCTGCGCTTCTATCCGAACCACTTCATTGCCCACCAACTCCAACACAATGACCACTTACAACGCTATCGTCGTCCGCTGCCGTACGGCCCTCTGCTCTGCCCCCCAGCCCGGCGACCCAAGTGCGTTGCCCACAAGCCCCTTCACACGACACCAGCTAACCGTTGTGCTAGCCATTGGCTGAAGATGCTCATCTCGATAAGCGAGAGGCTCTTGAGATCTACAAACCACGAGATATGCAGCAACACCAAGCAAAAAGAAAAACGCCACAGTACTCCCTCCGGCACGTTCCTGGGGGAGGGCTATAATGGGACCATCACCACTTAGAAGGCATGACTACACGGTCGATCACCACACAGTATACAGAACAGAAGCTCGTTGAGGAGCGCTGGCAGAAGTCACAGGAGACATGGGGCCAGCGCGCGCGCACGCACACACGAGACGCAGTCACGAGGACAGAATGACGAGAAGGAACACGGGAAATTCAGCAGGAGGGTGGCAGAGCGGGACTTAGACCTCGGAATGGGTTTAAACATGGCAGTCGGATACACGAGGAACGGCCATGTTCGGGTACAATATGATATGAGACGATACTACGCGCACGTGGAGAATTCCAAATATACGATATGACTCTTCAACCCTTTCCCGCCTTTTTTTTTTGTTTTCTTTTTTTTTCCCTCCCCCGGTTTCGCCCCCGCTCCAGTGAACATGTGTGTCGTGGTCGATAGGTTCTGGCGTGCTTTGCTTCAAGCCGTGGTTCGCAAAAAAGCAAATCGCGGTCGTGAATGACATAGCCACAGTCATGTGATTGTGACATGCATTTTTCTCTTGTGTTACCTTTTCTGGGGAATTTCGTTTTCAGCCTTATTGGCAATTCTTCTGGTTGGAAATACGATCAGGTCGGTCTTCATTGGTCTGTGGCTGCTGCTACGGTGGTCGTGGTGGTGTGTACCGTACCGAAAACCTACCAGAGATCGAACTGTAACCATGGCAAGGAAGTGTAGAGGAGGGGTGGTTGAGCGAAGGGGGTCCGGGGAGAAGGAGGGGGCCGGTTTGGTTTGGTTTGGATGTCCTGCAGGGGGTGGGGTGCGGTCCACTCTAGGCAAACAGACGTCAGTCAATCACCTAGTCAAGACGCATAGGCGCCACTGACTGCCTAGGCACGCCTGTCAACATGGGATGAAGTGTAGGAACGCTGGTGTGCAGTCATACGAGATCTTTTTTTAAAGTTTTGGCATCGACGATTATTAGAATCGGAAGCGAGCTGTCGAACCACCCCCTCTCAATGACGGCGACTTGACGGCCGAGACATCGTTGCCATGGCGGGGTCAAGGGCATCCTCGTTCCTTTCGGACCTTTCTGAGAAGTCCTCGCCAGACTCGTTCGCCACAGCTGTCCAGACTCCGGGTGGTGTCACAAAAACCGAAGACAAGACGCCCAGCATACACAATGATGATGGTGCTGCTGTCCATTCAACACCTGTGTATCACGAGGCGGCACCCCTCCGTCGTGAGCTGGAGGCGCAATGCAAGATCCTGCTCGAGGAACAACTCTGTACCTCCCCTCCTCCCCCCCCCCCCTACACGCCTCACCCACGCCTCTCGAACTTGAGACGTACTGACGCAGATTTCCAAGACACGAAAGCTATTTTCATGCTCAGCCAGATGCTCACCTCGGGCCATGCGCGCAAGGACGGCCTGCCGAAGCCAGCGACCGTCGCTCCCGCTGGCCAGCTGGCTCTCCTGTCCACCCTTACTGTGCACCCCCACCGCACGACGCGGCTCAAGGAGGATGACGATGGCGTCGTAGTCGGCGAAACCTGGACGTATCTGAATGGTGTGCTCGCCATCGCAGGGCCGCTGAACGCCGATTTCAAGACGGCATTTGCATTTCGTGGGCCGTATCGGCCCCATCGTCGGCATGCCGCTGCTGGCGATGACGACGACGACGGTATTGACGAGGAAAAGATCTACAATAAGTATGCCAACGAGGAAAGCCTCTTCCACTTGGCTGAAGATTTCTGGCACGTCGTCGGCTGGGGGTTCCTCTGCAGCAGCCTGCATGGGCATCGATGGCCATATTGGAAGGTTTGGCTGGAGTTCATGGTAGAGGCGCTCGAGGCGGATTGGTCGCAGCGGGCATTACTCGATGCGGATGAACCGGTGCAGTCCGATGCCAGCCTGCACCAGCATCGCGAGGAGTGTTTGTTTATGATGTACATCACCATATGCGGTCCGGCCGCCGCACGGATGAGCCGCACGATGAAGGCCATCTTGGCGGACGGCCAGCAGGTGTCGCGACGACTGTTCCAGGAGATATTCCGCAACGAATCTAAGCAGCTTACGCAGGGAGATAGGCAGGAAGCCCAAAAGATCCCTACCGCCGTTGATGTGGAACAGGGCGAGTACGGGGGCTACATGGATGTTACGGATTCCGACGACGACCTCGACCTCGACGCCGCCAGCCGTTCGCCATGGTCGACCCCGCGGAGCCCTCGCCAACTCATCCACGAGGACACTCCTGACGGCATGATGGAGGCAGCTCCCCTGCGTATTCGCATCTTCGCTCTTGTGGCGGGAGCCGCTTTTGCGCTTCCTACAGCTCTGGCTGACTTTCAAGACGTTTTCGTCGAGTTCGTCCGGCAACTGAAGGACCTGCCGCCGCCGAAGCTCCAGCTCTATCTGTCGTCGCTACTTGATGTTGCTACAGCGAACGGGGCAGACGGTTCCGTCGCGATCGAAGTTCTGGGATTCCTTCTTGACAGCCTGCTGCCACCAAAGTACGAAGATCCAGCTGACTACAACGACGAAGCAAAGGGGGGCTTTTTCGTGATCACGGCGGAAACGCTAACACGAAGCTTCCTGCCATGGCCGGCAAACACCGACGATCTGGATGACAACGTGAAGCTGGCGTTGGTGCTAGAAGCTGCGTTGCTGATCATCCCGGCGGACGACCCCGACACACATAGAGGGGCGCTACGGGCGGCAGCGGCCAAGGGAATCGAGGCCAGGAGGGAGAGGACGAAGAAACCGCAGGGCAGAGGTTTCCGCGGAGCGAGGAAGAAGGCGAACGCGCCGAGTGGGAAAGATCTGTACCTCAGGGAAATGATGGACCTGACAGGGGAGAGGATACTTGCGTACATCGACGGCATGGAGGGTGCGGATGCTTGATGACTCAAATGTGAGGCCTCAATGTTGAAGCTCCAATAGATGTACTTCCTTGACCATCAAATACGTGACGATGCGTCACCCCTTGTGCCGCCGGGGGCCTCTGTGAAGCGCCCACTGGTGGATCAATATAAACTTGATTTTGTTCCCGCAAAATCCCTGTATATCTGCGCCTCATTCATGATGTATCGAAGGAAGCCCATCGCGAGATGCTGGTTGAGGTGACTCCCTTGATGACATGTGAGCTCTGACATGGGGGGACCCCATGCTGTGTGGAGGAAAGCGTAAGGCCGCCCATCTTGGGCAGGTGGGGGTGCAGATCGGGAAAATTCCAGCCCCGCCATCTATCAAGCTTCCCTCTCGACAAACCCAGGACTATTCAACCTGCTGACGACGAGGCCTCCATATCGAATCGTCATGCCCAAAGTCTGATCGCCATGCCTGTACGTCTGTTTCCTCCCATCCCAACCCTGTTCTGTACCCCCGCCATCATGACAGACACCTAATGCGCCCAGCTCATCATAGTAACGGGCCTCCCAACATCGGGCAAATCTCACCGGGCCGCCCAACTGCACGCCTACCTCGCGTCGCACCTCGCGGCCTCGCCCTCGAAGCCACCGTACCGCCTTCACCTCATCTCTGACGAGTCCCTCTCGATTCCCCGTTCCGTCTACGACCTCTCCGCGACGCCGGCTCATGTGCGCTCGGCCAACGCCTCGGAGAAGGATGCCCGCGCGACGACGTACGCGGCCGTCAAGCGCGTCCTCTCGGACCGCGACATAGTCATCCTCGACGGGGGCAACTACATCAAGGGGTGGCGGTACCAGCTGCACTGCGAGGCCAAGGCCGTCAGGACCCCCTGCGCGCTGCTGCAGATTGGCTGCTCCGTCGACCGGGCGCGGTCGGTCAACGAGGCGCGGCGCGCGGCGAGAGAGGCGGCAGCAGCAGCAGCAGCAGCAGCAGCAGACACTTCAGCACACGGCGACACAACCGGCGACAACGCCCCGACGACAGAAGCCTACGAGCCCGCCAGCTGGGAGAATCTCGTGTTCCGCTACGAGGAGCCGAACCCCATGACGCGGTGGGACAGCCCCCTCTTCACCCTCATCTGGGAGGACGACGACGCGCAGGCCAGCTCGGTCTTCGCGTCGCTGTGGGAGGCCGTGGCGGGCGAGGGGCGCAAGGCCGTCAAGCCCAACCAGGCGACGGTGCAGCGCAGCCGCGATGCGGGCGGGGACTACCTGTACGTGCTCGACCGGGAGACGCAGGACATTGTGCGTCGGATCCTCGAGGGGCAAGGCGAGGAGGGGGGCGGGACCGTCAGCGTGCCGAACGGCGGAGGCACCCAGGCGAGGGAGCTGACGGTCGAGCTCCCGGGGCGGAAGCTCGGGGTGCCGCAGATGCAGAGGCACCGGAGGGCGTTTGTGGGGCTGAACCGCGGGGGCATCGGGCTCGAGGGCGTCGGCGAGTTCACCGTTACGAGGATGAGGGAGGGGTTCGTGGGGTACCTCAACGACGCCTTTGACAAGGAGGATGTGTAGGCTGGCACCACTGCATACTGGGGCTGCGGCCCACAGGCCGGCTACCAAGCATGTGCTTTTACGAATAATGATACCTCGAGGCAGGACTTGCCTGCATGCGTTCGTTCACATCTTTGACGTATGTGCTGGCGTCCATCTTGTGTGGCACAGTATCTTTGGCAGCATACTACATGTGCTGTCCAAGCCACCAGGTCAGAAATGGTCAGCACACTCGATGGGAAAAGCGATGGCTTGACAACATGCTCAGCGCTACAAGCTCGGCGCATGTCACGATGCCGAGACCCAGGCGGCCGGCACGTATCGCGGGTGCCAAGTGCTGCAAGACCAGCCTGGACCGCGACGGGCCTCGTCTGGCGTGGGCAAGCAACCTGATTTCGAAGGGCGGGGCTTTCCCCTTTGGGACAACAATACCCCCAAGACCTGCAGCACATCACGATATCGACATTGGCTTCGATGGCGCGTCGGCCGCATTGGGATGGGACGAACAAAGAGCCGCAGAGCACACCCCGCTACTTTGATCCGAGCGGCGTCGCGTCCGTCAGAGTTTCTGGTTTCTGGAAGCTTGGGAGGCAAGGGGGATCTTCAAGACATCTTCTCGACGATCGAGTTGTGGCTGGCTTGCGCCGCCTGCGCGCCTGTCTGTGCAACGTGTAGCCCCAGCCCTACCTGCGTAATGACGATATTGTGAGACAGAGGATGCAGCACGACGCATGAATCTTGACGGCACGGCAAGCCCACACGTAGCACAGTAGAGCCATGTCCGGCAAACTCGGCATCGCGAACGGTTCAGAACTGGTTTTCAGACAGGGAGCCAAGCCCCGGGTGGAGGGTGGCCTGATGGCGCGTCCTCCCTACAGCTGGCAGCCAGCCGGCGGGCCAGGTGTACCACGCACAGCATCCTGTCCTTACTCAAGCGCCTCACAGTGGCAGTTGACTGGTTGACTCGTGGGGGGGGGGGGGGTCGGCGCGCGGTGGTGCGAGAATGACGCAGACGTCCACCACCCTTCCACAAAGCGGTCAATGCGCTCCCCACGCGCGACAAGCTTTGCCAAGAGGCAGCAGCCAAGACGGGCGGGCTGGCTGTAAAGTTTTGCGGACGATCCGCCGGGCTGGGGGGTGGATGGAAGCCTTCAAAGGAACCGCCGCGACGGCTGCCATTGCGCTTGGGTTTAAGCTTCTGTTATACTTTCCACCGGTGCCTCGTTACGTGATGTAGGGAGAAAAAGCCCCCCAAAAACCACCGGGTGCGAGGGAGGGGCGGGCTCAAGAACGTGGGCTTCGGCGGACGGTTTATCGTGCGCATGGCGGCGGCGGGCGTGGCAGCGAGGGCCGCTAAAGGTTACTGAGCATTGGGCCCATCGACTTTTGGCTCACTTCATCGAGAACCTTCCCAGGCGTTCGAAGACGGAGGGTTTCGTCTCGTGATGTCGTGCCCTGGCTGGTAGCAGTGTACCATGTAGACATTTCCTGTGTCCCCATGGATCTCTCCATTGACAGGCGGACAGGCGCAGGAAAGTCCGGTAACTGGGGGGCAAGAAAGGTATCGAGCTCATCTTGTTGAGTCTCCCTCGACGTAACGAGCCAGTTTCGAGAGTACCCGACTGCAAGTGATTGTGCGGGGACCATGGTCTGGACTTTGTTGTCTGGTTTTGGGGCCATACTTGGTAATTGGGGTGATTTAGCTAACTGCGACTCGGTCAATGCCTGCTAACCCCCGATGCCTTGAAAAGCGCGCGACGAAGGAAAGGCCATTCAATGGAGTTCAGAACAGCGACATCAAAGAATCCCCTGCCCTACATGTCTTGCTTTTGCTCGTCCAGGTGGATGGATGTACCATGTAGAGGACAAATCGGGGACGATTGACCGGGGGAAAGAGACGACAGCACCCAGAAGAAGAGGAGGCGTGGACGAGACGAAAGAGTAGGAGAATGGCAGTTGGCGCACTGTGATAACCCGCCAGACACGGTGCGAGAGAGGCCGCGGCTGGCTCGTGGGTGGCAGGGCTGGCCAGTCAGACGAAGCGGGTCCACATCATTTCCCCTTTTCCACCAGCCAAAAGACAGTGGGTCGGCCGGTGTGCTGCGTCGATGGTGCCAAACACGCGCTCCCACCCCCTCCTTTTACCATGACTGTGGTGTGTGTTCATCCTTTTCCGTCCTTGTCCGTTCACAGCCTGTCCATGTAGGAGAGGGGGTACGGGAGGATTCGTGTCGCCATCAAATCAAAATCGCCTGGGGGTGGACATGGGAGAGAATCGCAATGATCCGCAACAACGGAGGGGTTGAGCACTGCACATCACACTGTATCCAACTGTCTGTATCAAGTTTTCAATGCCGTGCTGGCTGTCCAACAGCAGTAACCCCAAACTGTGGGCGAATGCCGCAAAACAACTAGACGTTTCATCGCGACAACCACAAGCTTCGTGCGACACGGACGCGTCCAGGGCTCCCCATATGTATTCTCTCTGTGTGTCTTGCTCATCGACCCGTCGTACCTGATAATAGGGCAGGCATGGACTATATCAGAGATGGGATGCTTGTTGTGTCCAGTGCAGTGCAGTGCAGTGCAGTGCAGTACAGTACAGCGCTTTGCGATGCACTCGAATACCGAGTCTCGCCTGTAGGTGTCCGTGTCCTGTACCTTGGGTGATGTGCTACGAGAGTGGCTGTCACTGTAGTGGTCAAGGTAGGTACTGGGGGTAGGTAGATAGGTAGGTAGGTACCTTAGGGACTTCTCGGTCCCTACAGCCCCCGATGGCGTTCCCCTGCTGCTGGGACTGTTCAACGAGGCAATGCAGCGCCGATCAGAAGGGGTCCATTTGGCTGGGCTGTTCTTCTTCAAGGCGCTGTGCTTCAGTGCTTGTTTAGTTCCTGGCCAAGCATCGCATGACCATGACCGCAAATGAATGCACCGCAAGAGACCGAACCAGGCTTTGATTGCTCGTTGTGATGTTCGGCCTGCGCGCCTGGCGACATTGTGGACAATCTAGGGCCAGGCATGATACATCTGGACAGCCAGAGAAAGTGACAGGTGAGCAAGGCCCCCCTTGTGGGCCTCACTGAACTCGAACCAGTTTTTAGTGTCGCCACCGTCCACTCACGGCCGGGTCAATTCAGATCTCTGCACGCCGCCAGCGCACCACGGCACGCACGCTTCGAACGCTGCGAGGCGTGGGCTGTGGACTGCTGGGACGTGCAGCCAGAGGACACCCCCACACTGTCTGAATGGGCGGGCCGAATCGCACGGTGCTCCTCCGTATCGCACCGTGTGCAACTGCTGCGCCTGTCTGGTTCCCCGGCATGGACCCCGGTTCCCCCCCCCTTGCTCCTTCTGTTTCTCTCATATCCATCTGTCTCCCCTCGAAGCCCGGTTATCCTGCTGTGCCCGCGAGTCCGCTCGTCCACTGTCGCTGCCGCTTCCTTGAACCACGCACCAAACACACTCTCGAGACAAACCACAGTTCAAACAACCCGGCTTCGCAGTCCCTCGATATTCAGCAAGCGAAACCCTGACAAGACTCAACGGCCCAGTCTGAACGCTCGTTTCTATCAATCCGGATTTTGCATTCTTGAGCGAACCCCGACTGGGAGACCAGTACCAGACACCTTCCCCCAAATCTGCAGTACGCGTTCCCAAGACTCTCGGCGCCCAGCCATATCGATCAGTGCCAACATCTCCACAATCTTGTCTTGTTCGACACTTGATGATCGCCTTTTGGCATCGCCCTCTTTGGCATCGCCCTACCTGTGCTCGTCTGGACACGATACTCTGACTGTCGTCGGCCTCACTCGAAAAGCCTGTCGCCACGACGACTGAACCCGGCGTTCCATCTCAACCGACTCATCCTTCGACCCGTCGGCCACGCTGTCCCGACTCGCACCCGTCTATCCACCCGGAGTCTCCCACAGCGCGCGTCTCGTGCTTCTTCTTCGCCGCGACTACGACGACGACTCTCAATCGCGACACGACCTGATTGACGACCTGCGACTTGAAGTGACGGTCCGAACCTTGCGTGTTCTCGATCGCAACGAACCCTTCGTACCCTCCGACCAAACCCTGCTCATGCGACGACCATCCGATGGCGATTGAGTAGTCGCTCTCGAACACCTCGCTCTCTCCTCCTCCCTCCATCGTTGAGCGGCCGGCCGCCTTGTGTGTCCTTTGCAGGTCACCACACGCCAGTTCGGTCCGCCACCATGGCTGCGAGCGTGAGTTCCTGGCTCGCGGCCGCGACGCCCACACCAACCCTCGCCTCCGTTGCTTCCAAATGTGCGACAACGCTCTCTGTCGGTGCCGTCCTATCCTTCGGCCCCGGCCACCCCTTAACCACGCTCACCCACGCCGCCATTCTCGAGACGCCCTGCGCCGCGGGCCAGACGCCGACGTCCTCGTCATTACCGTCCGTCCTGCTGGCCAACGCGGAGGGCATCGATGCCCTCGACGCTGAAACGAGCGGCGGCTCGCCTCAATTCTCCGACTTTCGCGATGCCTTTTACGAGTCGACCTTCCCCGTCTGCTACGTCCTCGCCGCCACGACTGTCACCGCCTACATGCTCGTCATCATGCTCTTCGTCACCCCACGCTCCTTCCTCGACGGTGGCGTTGCATATCTCGGCCGCAGCGGTTTCACCGGCAGCTCACCCAACGGCATCAGCATTGGTGGCCGCCCGTGGCTGCAGAAAGTAGCCGCCATGACTGTCGCCATCTCCCTGACCATTGCCACTGCCGATACGTTTCGCGTCGCTGAAGAGCAGTATGCCTGGGGTGTGCAAAACGCAGATCAGTTGCAGTCTGAAGTCATGGACAGCACCGAACTTAAAATCATGCGCCTCATTTCCGACACGTTTCTGTGGCTGGCGCAGGCGCAAACCTTGATCCGCCTCTTTCCACGCCAGCGTGAAAAGGTCATAATCAAATGGACCGCCTTTGCCCTCATCACTCTGCAAGTCATCTTCAGTGCACTCAACAGCTTTTACTATCTCACGAGTGGCAGCAACGGCAACGCGAGGCCGCAGAGCTTCGTTGACGCCGTCCCCGCTCTCAGCTACTTATTCCACCTTTCTCTGGGCTTGCTCTATGCTGCCTGGGTCATTTACTATGCGCTCATGAAGAAGCGCTACGCATTCTATCATCCCTTGATGAAGAATATGCCACTCATCTCAGCTCTCTCCATCCTCTCCATCCTTATTCCTGTTGTCTTTTTTGTCTTGGATATATCTAGGCCAGAATTTATCGGCTGGGGCGAATATGTTCGTTGGGTAGGTGCCGCCGCAGCCAGTGTGGTGGTGTGGGAATGGGTTGAGAGGATAGAAGCCCTGGAGCGCGAAGAGAAGAAAGACGGCATCCTAGGCCGTGAGGTTTTCGACGGCGACGAGATGGTGGAGGCTTCTGCCTCTGACTTCCCCTGGCTACGGCGCAGGAGGAACCGGAAAAGTCAGGCCGGCGGAGGGGCAGGAAGCAGTGGTGCCGCTGGAAATGGCGGTGGCGTTGGCGATAGCGCCGGCGGCGACGGAGGGCCAAGGGAACCTCGACGGCTGCGAGACTTATGGCGTGGCCTGGTCTTCACGTCAATTCCTTCCCAATACCAAGGCAACTTTTCGCCAACAGCAGCAGCAGCAGCAACAGCAACAACAGCAACAACAACAATCGGAAGCACGTAGCGCCGACGCGAATGTAGCAAGGCTCGTGTAATCAGCCGGTCGGCACGATCCAACCCCCCACTGTGGGCCAGGTTCGCCCGGCCTCCGGGC